TTTTCCACGACATTCTAATTTATTGAGATGCACCTGTATGATTACCTTTTTTTCCATCAGAAAATGACTAATCAGATGCATTATTGTGCCCGAAGCTTCAGGAAATGTGTCAGTCATTTCAGTCAAACCATTTTAGTATGTGTGGTGACGAAGCTGATAATTTCTGACAACGTAAATAACTGTCATTATTGTACCATGTTTTGCTGACTGTTTGATTGTAGATGGACTTCAACCTTAGACCGTACCAGGAAGAGGTGGTGCAGGCAGCGCTCAGAGGGGAGAACAGCATCATCTGGCTGCCCACCGGTGGAGGAAAAACCCGTGCTGCGGTTTATGTCACTCATAATCACCTGGAGACCACAGCCAATGCCAAAGTGGCTGTGCTCGTCAACAAGGTAAAGCCAGTTTTGTGCTTTATCACTTTGGCTCTGTGCATTATTACTCTCATTGTCTTTAGATTTACACGTAGAGTTTTCATATCCATTGTTCTCAGGTGCATCTAGTTGACCAGCACTTCGCAAAAGAATTCAAGCCTTATCTTGAGAGTAGATACAAGATAACAGCCATCAGTGGGGACAGTAATGAGAAAGACTTGTTTGGGCATCTAGTCAAGGCCTCAGACCTGGTCATCTGCACGGCTCAGATTTTGGAGAATGCCCTGATTAGCACGGAGGAGGAAAAACACGTGGAGCTGACTGGTAACAGATGATTCTGCATGACACACCATGATATATAATGCCTTACAACCGTTTTACACACAGTGCATAAATGTAAACTTGACTTTTTCCATGAATACGGTACATTTTGGTTGGCTTTTTGCCAGTATTAGAGGAACAAGTCCCATGCTTTATTGTTGTGAGGATTTGCTATCCTTTGCTATTGCACATATATTGCTATTGCATCCTTCTTGGTTGTATTTAACAATTAAAACCATACAACGAACCATAATAATCTGTTGAATTGGTATACAAACCAATATGTAAAAACCTTTTGATTAACTTATTTAAACAATTATTCACTATTTTTAATTATTAACCCAAAAATATACGTTTATCAGTAACTACAAACCAAGTAGCACCTTCTAAGCGACAGCTTAATTTAGGCTAAATCTGCAACCCATTCTGGGATAGTTTATTTATTTATTTGTTTGTTATACATTAACATCAAAATTAAATATACAAAATATTTATGTTAATTGCTGTAAAATTACAAAACCACACAAACCATAATTTGAAACATTTTTGAGGTTGAAAACCTTACAGAAAAGGCTTAAAATTAAAACGACTCAATATTTATTATGATCTTCTAAGGTAGACAATCATTTGAAGGTTAAGCATTTCCATTCACTGACTACTTCATTTAATTAATTTTGTACAATTTTTGAGTCGAAAACATGATGACGTACTAATATGCAATTTTAACAATACCCTTCATTCGTCTCTATTCAGACTTTACCCTGCTGGTAATAGACGAATGTCACCATACACAAAAGGAGAGTGTCTATAATAAGATTATGGGCCGCTATGTTGAAAAGAAATTGAGAAAAGAAGGGAATCTGCCTCAGATTTTGGGCCTCACCGCATCACCTGGTACAGGAGGAAATAGGAAACTGGATAAAGCTGTTGAACATGTACTGCAGGTGTGTTTAAATGTACACATTAGGACTAGTTAATAAAGCTGATAAAAAAATCATGCAAAAACTAAAATTCTATTCAAGTCATGTTTGCCCACACTCACACCAAAGATTTAATATCAGATATATGACCATAATGGACATTAATACAGGTCAATTGAAAACAATTTTTTTTTGTGCTGTGAACTAATGAAAGAATCTTTTTCTCTCTCATTCTCAGATCTGTGCCAATCTGGACTCAGTAATTGTGTCCACCAAGAATTTTACACCAGTGCTGCAGAAAGTCGTCCCCAGACCCAAAAAGCATTATGACATTGTTGAAAGAAGAGCTCTGGTACTTTCCTCTGTGTGCTTTCAGATTGTGTGATTCTATACAACTGCTTAAATATTCATGACCAATAAGTGTGTGTTTATATTTGTTTGTGTGCAACAGGATCCATTTGGCGACCACTTGAAATCAATGATGTCGATGATTCATGAGTTTATGCCGTCAACGGTGAGTCGCAGCCTGCGAGAGATGGGCACCCAGGAATATGAAGCGGATGTGGTGGAACTAGAAAAAACAGGTTATTGACACTACAATTGTAAGTTGTACATTCTCAATCCCCTGCAAAGACATGACTTGATTTGATGGTGTGTTTGTGTGTCAGGTGTAAAGAAAGAGAACAGACTGATTGCTCAGTGTGCTT